GTTTATCTTACATGTTCAACAGATTTTTTTTTCTGCATTATATTCCTTGACCACATTAGAAAGATCTCTTCCTGAGTGATCTTTATCCCTCTAAAAATTTTCTGCTCTCTAGCGGCATGATTTCCTATGGTAAATTCAAAAATTATTATTTACTGGACCATTCTTTTAATGTGCAGTTAATGTTTTAAATCCCATTAATCTATTTTTTTTGCTAAATATTGATTTATCTGAACAGTGGATGTTGCAAACAGGTTTTTATACTCATAGCTTACAAGAAGAAAACCAGGAGGAGTAAGCCACAGAAATTAGCTCTGCAGGAATTCTGGAATTCAAAATTTCAGCTGGTGAAAACTGGCAGCTATAGCCACATACAGCACTATATTGAAGGACCTTGTCCCTTTTCCTCATCCTCTTGGGGTCTTAGCTTCAGTATCAGCAGTACAAAGAGCACTATAAAGGCAGAAGTGCCTCAGAGGGAAGAATATTCCTTACCAGCTTCTACTCTCTTTTACTTTTACTCATCAGTGAAGAGTGCAACTGTGATTTAGCAAAAAATTATAGTCACTATTATGTTTGTGTTTACTGCTGAGGTGCTCTTTTTTTCTAGGCTTATGGTTAATCTGCTAGCTATATTTTTTCTTTCTGTCTTCTATGGCATGATCATTTGATGTCTGCAGTTTTTCTGAACTAGAATTGTGACACTCCAAATATATTGGAGTGAAATTCCCAACAAGTATTTTGTCTGCTTTATGTCTTATTTTACCAATATATTAAAAAGCCCTTTGGCATGTTGAATGAAGCATTCTCAGAGAAGAATGCCATCACTGTCTTTTGACAGCATATGTTTCAAAGCCACACGTAATCCACAGAGCCAAATGGCAGGTGAAGTATGTCTGCAAATATATTTTTGTTCTGATGACTTCAGACACCAGTGAGCTGTGACACCTCCAGTCAAAACTACCTACTTAGGCACATTTTCAACTTTCTTGCAACTGAAAACACATCTGGACCCACCCTAGTATCAGGCACTGGGATGCTGCCACTACAAAAGGACCATTGCTACCCAAGTGGTGGTTGTGAAGGTGTCCATGTGGAGTGGCTGGATGGTATCTCCTAACTGAGCTGAGTTCTACAGAGAGTTCTAAGTCTTCTTTTTCATCTATAAATTTACAAAGAAAGGAAAGAACTGCTTTCACAGCTGTACAGACAGAAAAACTGGAGCACAGCAAACAACTATCCAAGATCACAGGCCTAATCAATAGTAGATTCAGCAAAATAAACTTGCATCACCTGATTTCTATATTCCTTCTCTACAGTCAAAATATAAAAACAGCTATCAATACATGTGAATGTATAGAGACAGATAACAATATAGGTGATCTAGAAAGCTTTCCAACTTTTTCTACAGTAAGTTGGCTGCTGCATAGAATAGTACATAAATGCAGCAGAAGTGTTGACTACATTTTTTTTAACGCAATCAACTTTCAAGTATCTGAATTTGAGTTCCTTGGACAAATAATATCTTCTGATTTATCTACAGTTTCTTCAGTTATTCATCTTCTCTTCCTGCCTGCTTCATGCCTTCATTATCTCTCACCTGCTGTGACCTCTTAGCCACTGTAACCCTCTTCCTTCTAATCTCTCTCCTCCAGTCCACTCCAAACACTGTCATGTTCATGACTTTGATCATGTCCTCTCTCAGTCCCTTGGGTGGTTTTCTGTCTCATTACTCTACAATGTCAAATTTCTCCTCTTCAATTTTGAGGCTTTGCAAGAGTCTGCCTAACTCCTCAAGTGGACTGAGTCCTTACTCCTTCCTGGTTCTGATACAGTCCTGATTACTGTGCGTATCCATATCTCATGCATGACTTCCTTTTTCTATTCCCAAAACTGTTTACAGTGCCTAAAATATCCTCTCTGCTCTAACCTGCGAACCAACTTAACACTCCTCTTTCATGTTTCTTTGCTCATTCTGTGTAAATTTGTTTATGAGTGCTTTGGAGCAAGAGGATTGTTTTCGAAAATACGAGGTGTTTGTGAAGTTGCAGGTATAACAACGAAGTTGACAAAATAATTACGAAATTTACTTCATCCACTTGCATCACATTGTAAATAAATATACAAAGTAGCATTTAAATATATTCATATAAGTAAACAAAAGAAATGTCTCCAATTCTCTTCAGATTTATAGTGCAGCAAAGGAAAGGAATAGTGGTTACTATGTGTGAGTCAGATATAATTGACAAATTTGATTCCTTCATCAGATTGCCTTTCTTTTGAAGGCTGACCACAACCAGCTGGTATGTATTTAAACCACAGCCTGAACTTTATGGTGGAGTAAATTTTTGATTCTCATTAAGATGTGACCCCTGAAAAATTATATGAGCTCTCTGACTTTCTCACAAGAGTCTTGAGCCATCCATTAATTTTGAAATAAATATGGTACCCTTCAACAAAACAGCTTCTACAGGTACACCTAAATCTGTAAAGCACAAAAAAAATGTTGGGCAGAAGTTTATGGCAGCAGTTTGATTTCTCCCCTCCTTAAAAACAAACAAACAAACAACAAACAAACCCCACAAACAGAACAGAACCTTTTATTCCTAGGAGTTTCCTAGGCAAGGGGCATTTCAGCTTGTTTATCACACAAATCTTTCCCATAATTCAGCTATTAAGCAACAAGATTCTATAATCTATTGTCAGTTAAATTAATGTTTGTAAATCTTTACTGTTGATGGTATTATAGTACCAGAAACATCTAAGGGCAACTGCTATCAGTTTTATTGATAGAAGCAGTGGGAAATTGAAAGAAAAACCTGCAGCAGCAAATCAGTAACTCTTTCTGAAGAAAATGCATTGTATGAGATAAACTTCTTTTAGTTTAGCTATGAAATGAACTAACAAAAGAAATAACAAAAAATTCCTGGCCACAAAAGATTTGCATTTTGATATGTAATTAACTTGATTAATTAGACATATGATTCTTAAACTGTAATGAGTATACAAATGAGAAAAAAAAATTAAAAATTCTTTATCTGATGCTACCAAATGTGGGAAAACAATCCCCCTCTCCAATTTATCAAAGTAATTTGAACAGAAAAAGAGATAAAAATGTGTAATTATAAAGTGATATAGGAATTAATCTGATTGAGAGCTCAACATACAACACTGGTCACTAGCTGCTTAAATTCAGACATGCTTTCACATTTGTGACATACTCCACGCATCTGGAGACACATGCCAACTTCATCTATCTGCTCTAACAGTGTTGGTAAAAGTTCTTTTTATTATTCTTTCTTTGAAATACATCAACAATGCTAGAAAAATTGACACCAATAGTGAAAACTTGTTGTTAAATTCAACCACACCTGCTAATGTCAGGTGTAATTGCACTGGTTTTAGTAAAAATGTACCAGAGATTCTACACCCACTCTGTGGTGCTAGTGAGTTAGTGTTGATAATGACCAAATCTAAATATTTTGATTGCAAGCACTGGATTTGAAAAAGGAAATTAAAAATTCAAATTTCACTGAAACAGACTATCTTTTCCTTTTCAGTATATCTCTGAACCAAATTGAAGCAGAATTTCAGTGTGGCAGCCAAGTATATTTACATACTTAATTTTAAATAACTTACATTACCTTTTAATAGGATATTTTTTTTACTAGCTGGTATGGTAGAAATCTGGTATGGTACAAATTAGTAACCCCAAACAAAAACCATTGTCATGCTCACCTATACTAAAATTTAAAAAAAATCACCTCTATTTTGAGTACCACAATGTGTACTTTTGCTGTCTCCACAGTGAATGGCAAAATTGTATAGGGAGGGAGGAAGGAAGGAAGGAAGGAAGGAAGGGAGGAAGGAAGGGAGGGAGGAAGGAAGTGGCGNAAAAAAAAAAAAAAGGAAAATTCATCCTGGGTTTTGAGGCTGTTTTTTTAAACTAAACATGAGAAACATTGTCAGAAATAATTTACGTATTATATGCCACTGTAACATAAACCATTTTAATTTTTTTTTAACTCATGCTGGTGTTTTCATGCTCTGAAAGGAAACTATTGTTACCACATGTGCACACACATAGGCACAGTGTAGAGCCCACAGTATGTAAGCACACAGACACAGAGACACACACACACTCAGCCCCGCAGGATGCACGCACACGGGATATACCCCAAATGCAGCAGTACCTCTGGCACGCTAGAGGGAGCCATTACATAATTGCAATGACCCTTTCCCCCCTCTCAATTAGGAGAACTGGTGTGGAAAACCTCCGGACATCTTGAGACATCCTAAAGGTTTGGCATAAGCTGCAGAATAAGGAGAGGAAAGCAGAGGACTCGAGTTGCAGTCAACCGAGGTCTCCTGATAGCTCAGGGGCTTACGCTGGTATTTGTTCCACTTTTAATACCGCGCTGCTTTTATAGGGAACTTCTCCAAATACGTGACTTAGCCGAGCACGCCAAATTCCCTCAGCCAATGTGAAGCCCTCATGCAGAAAGCAAAGCCCATTTTGTAAACATATCCTTTATTTCATCTGTCCGTCGCTCTCACACAGAAAGTTGGCTCTGCTGACAGCAGTGGTTTTCTGCTGCCACTAATGTATGTATAGTTTATTTATACACTGCATTTTAACACGGCATTAGTTCTATAACGGTTACCAGCAGACTCGCTCTGGACGGCAAACTATCTGTTTCACAGCTACAAAGAGGTCCTCAGGACGAGAAGATGGGTCTGGAAAGAACACTCATTTGAATTTATAAATCTGCAAGACTTTTTCCAAGTCATATTATATTTATGGACATAATAACTCAGGGCTGAAGGCAATTATTCTATTGAGCAAGGCAAACGAGCAGCTGCCTTAACTGACTCTTTTAAGAGACGCTCCTAAAATAATTCAAGAGCGTCTTATAAGTGCTCCAGAGTTGATTTTCTTCCCCTTTTTTTTTTTTATTTTTATTTTTTTTCCTCCTTTCCCCTAAATGATTCTTGCTACTTACACGCTCGTCACAAACGGCAGCTTCATTTCCGTACGCACGGGTCGAGACCGGCCCTCCGGCAATCCGAGCACGCACCTTTCCAGCCTCANGGAAGGAAGGAAGGAAGGTTAGTTTAGGATATGACAACAGTCAAGCACTGTTGCTTAGCCCATGGGTCTGTTTCCTTGTTACTGAGAAACACAGCAGCTTTCCATTTAACATTCCAATTTTCTCCCTGTATGATTTTCAGTGATGTGACATTTAGAAGGGATGACAAAATCTCAATACTTGTTTATCCCATAGGTCAATATTCCAAATAGTTGTCTTGATGCATTAGAAATGTTAGCTGCATTACTGTTAATATTGACACCTGATATTTACTTCACAGAAGTAAAAAAGGTCATGTTTTTATCATCTCTTTCTTCCTAATTAATTGCATAAATATGTTTAATACTGGAAAAGACCTGTTAAACCCAATGAGAATTTGTTCTGTTCAGAAGGTTGAGTCCTAGGCCTTGGTTACACTATAGCCAGCTACGACGAGATTTAATAATTTTAAATTCATGGCATTTATGCACAACAGTAAGTCCCCCAACATATTGGTATTTGCCTAACTCCGCGTAGTAATCATCTTTGTTCCCTTTATGTGATAAGGCGTGAACACTAATTATTGCCATTTTCCTTTTTTGGTCCACTGACTAGAAGGACGACATGTATTAGAATCTACCAGAGAGCATCCACAGCTTCAACTCTAAATGAACATATTGAAAAAGAATAATGTCTCCAAACAGAATAAAGAGATTAATATTCAAATTTACTTTCATATTCAAATTTACTCACTACTTAGTAGAAGCCCTACACTTTGAGTATGTGGGCATTTAGTGATGTATTGTTTAGATCTGCCAAGTGTAATATTGTACTGTATCTTATTTTAAACTCTTTGAGCTAGACAAGCAGAGACAATAATTTGATCTCTTGAGGTGTTTCAAAATCCTCCTGTGAATTTTTGACATTTTTCTTTCATGCATTTACTCTATGATAAGTGGCTCTTCAGAGGTTTGGGTCCAATTCCCTTGGGACTGTAGCCAGTTGTTTGAGAAAGCTGCTGTTTACTACAGGTCAATAAACAATGGCCCCTGTTTGGGAATTCTTTCTCATAAAATGTGTAAACCAAAGAGCTTGCTACATGAAATGCTTTAGAAAAGTCACAAGCAAAACTTTAGAATTCTCCTCACTCATTTGTTAAAAAAAAAAAAAACAACCAAAAACCCCTGAAAGAAGTTGTGATTAAAAGTTATGAATAATTGTTTTTCTTTAGAAATTCAATTGCATGGGGACTTCTGTGATTTTCTCATCATATGAACCAAATCATACCAGGATCACACAGATGAAGGCTGAAATCTGGTTATGCTTTGATGAACTTTTAGTTGGAAAATGCAATAAGCAGCTATTTGGTCTGCAAGAGTAGAATCAGGACTACAGTCATAATATCATAGAGACAATTTATGTCTGCTGAACAAGTGAGTGCTATACTAACATGACTAAAGCCTTTAGAGAAGGCCTTATTAGAGAAGAAAACACCAAAGCAATTGAAAATGAACTTCTTCAGCAGTTTTCTATATGATTATGTATTATAATAAGAGTTCAATAATATCTGAATCAGGACATTTTTGTGACCTAATACATTTCATGCAGTTTAACACCTCATATTAGCAATTATTTTATATTAGCAATTATTTTATCTTTCTTGTGGTTGTATGTGGTTCTCCAACACGCAGGTTTTTTGATAGACATTCATCACTGCAGGATGAGAACATCTAATACTAGTGCACCAAGACTACAAATTAATGTGCTTTAATTTTGTTCTGGTACCCTTGCTTGAAATAGAAGTGTGTGACCTGCTTCATCTTTATAAATTAAAATTACCTACATACTATTTTGCATATATTTTCACTAAAGCAAGCTAAGTAAAAAGAAAAGCCTTGCAACTGAAGCAGAAACTTCCTGAGGTGTAAAATGGTCATTGTTTCTCATGAGATTTCATTCCATTGTATCGAGTCTGTCCACCAAAGATGTCAGTCCCTCTCCAGCTAAACTGTATTTATGTCAGACTGTTCTAATGACACAAAACCCCAAAACTGTCAATCAGTCATCACAATGGACTCAGTCTTTTTGATATCCTGAGTTAGGTAAGCACCTTCAGATAAGGGTGAGATGTTGAACTTGGCTGGTGTGCTCTGAGACAGGCTTTGTGCCCTCACATGTCAGGTGGCAGCGAGCATTATGCATGCCCTGTAGTACCCTGGCAAACAGAGTTCCCCTGGCAGTGAGGGTGTGTTTATAGCATTACACAAACAGGACATAAGTGATCCTGATCATCATTCACCATAACCAAATGGTGTGTTCTTGTGCCTCAGATGCTTACATGTGCTTAGTTTGTCTTTCCAAGTAAGTTTTTACTTTAAAAAGCAAATTTTACTTCTTTGGTAAAGATTTAAAGAACAATCCTCCAAAAAGCATTTCATTTAGGTTTGATATGAGTTACTGCATGTTAAACAGGAACTAGATATTAAGAAATACAGAGTAAAACAAGGATAAAAAAAACTAATTATATAGTCCCTACATCTAAATAAATGTATTTAAAATAACTATGCTGATTTAGTGACATAATTGACTCATTAGCTCCAAATTAAATACCTGTAATGTAAAACAAATCTTACCTTAAAACATTACCCCTCCCAATACAGTAGACTCTCCTTTATATACCACAGTGGACGTGCTTAGTGAAATAGGAAAGTGGCAGAAGTTAGCCTTTTAAATATTTAATGCTGCTGCACATTAAATAAAAGTGTCTGCAACATATATTTTGTAGTGATTTATTTGCAATTCAGATGTTATCTCTAGATGTATGTAGAATCGTTAAGTCTGCTAACAATTTTAGAAATTATAATAAAACAGAAAATTGTAGCAATTCATTTATGTTAATTTACTGACACTAAATTCCTTAGGGCAGCAGCCAGGAATACACTTTCTTATATAAAACTAAACCTGTTTTGGTACCTAACACATCAACATTAATGACAGAAACACTATCCAAGATTTATATTTGCACAGATTTCTTTGTTTGTCTTACTTTATTTTTTGCATAGTTTATCCATTATATTTATGTACTCATCATTAAGATGCCTTAAAGGACCAAATTTCCAGGACACAGACATTAAACAATTTTTTAAAAATCAAGCCCATTTTATATGTCTTTATTAAAGACAGAAAAATTCACTAAGTGTTTTTAGTGGTCTTAAGGACATAGTTTTTCATATTTTAATTTTAGGATCTGTTTTTGTTATTGCAGCAGGTTTTAGGATTTTTTAAATGTTAATTTTGCACCTTGGTTATTACATTCTGTTCTGGCTTTTTTATAGCACTGGCTTCTGACTAATCACTTATGACAAGACTGTAAGACAACAGTTTGCCTGCAGAAAGGGGGATGTATAGCAGAACCATCCCAGGAGCAAACAGAGAAGGGAATTATGACTTTTAGAAACATTATTTCCTCTCTCACTTACCCCTGGCTCTAAGGGGGGCACAAACCCCTACTGCTCTGTGCTGGCAGCCAACTGTCAGTTCAGCTTATCTCAGATGGCCAATGTGTTGAGGGGATGAAGCCAAAGTCCTGCATGGCCTTGAGCACCAGCTGCCAATGTCCCATCAGGACAGGGACCAGTGGCCCCTCACAGGCTGCTGTCATCACTCTCCAGCTTTTGCTGTGACCTGAAGTCACACTAGCCCATGCCAGAAAGCAAGCCCTCAAGTCTCCCTTATTTTCCTGCATAGTGGGGATAAGAGTATTTGACAATCCTATTTGGTGATTATGCCACTGAAAGCAGTATAGAAACCTCAATTTGGTAGTCAAACAAGGCAAAACAATAATTTCCTACCCTGTTACCCAGTTGTAGATAAACTGAACACATTGGGCAAGAACTACATTTTTTAATTCCTGAGAGCAAATTCCTCATAGGTGGACTCCTCCCTGGATTCTCTCTTCTCATCAGGAGATGAAAGGGAGCTTCGTACAAATAAATGGCTTGTGTTGCACCTACAGACGTGTCAAACTTTGAAAACCTCATGCTCTAGACAGCCTTGCCTTGCTGCTAATTGGTATGTTTTTCTTTAAAAAGTGAAGATTCTAACCTTTTACTTGACAGATATGTGGGCAAAATGCCACACAACATTTTGAAAGCTTATCTATAGTCTGCTGCTTACAAGTCTTGTTTATGTTGGAGCTCACACAGAAGTATACAAATGAAAAGGGTTAGTAGGAACAAAACTGGATGGTTGGTTTCAATAGACATCTATTGAAACCAACTATCCAGTTTCGTTCCTACTACAAAAAGTCTAAATATGTTGCTCCCTTTAAAAAGGTATACAAATGTAACACTTGACTCACAGATTTTTTTTAATTATCATAATTTATTCCTAGTCGTGTCCCTGAACTTTTGGGATAGGGTGCAAAGACAGTTTCATTACCATTTTGGGTTCTTTGTTTTTACTTAAGGTTTCATTTTTTTTCCTTCTAATCTTCTGAAATTGCAGCTAGGAGAGTAAATGGGATTCCATCTCTCTGAGAGATTTAGCAACAGAATTGTTTACAGAGTTGCAATCAGTCATGTTTAAAGCAGAGCTACTAACTGCATAACTAAATAAGGGAATACTTTGGAAACAAAAGGGTTGCATAACAGGTAAATTTAGCTTTTAGAATCTTTAGTGTCCAATGTATAAGAAATTTTTTACACCCTTAGGAGAGTTTGAAATTTTGTCAGGCAGTACAAGATGCTAGCTTAGAAAAACTAAAATGAAAAAAAATGGAAATAACTAATTAGCAGAAATCTGGTTAACTCCTTGGTTGTTGCTGTTACTGGTTTTGTTTCCAATATGAACTTTATCTCCTGCAAATTGATCTACACAGATTACTTGGCACTTACTGTTCAGGCTTACTCTCTTCAGGGAACTGGAACTTGATTTCCAGCTGCACTTGGAATTCAAAAGTTTTGAAGTTTTATCTTCATCCCACCTGGTGAATTTCTGTGGATCAGGATTACCTAGT